CAGTAGGTAGTGCTGTCGCCTCACAGCAAGAAGGTCGCTGGTTCGAATCTCGGCTCAGTTGGTGTTTCTGTGTGGAGTTTGCATGTTCTCCCCGTGTTGGCGTGGGTTTCCTCCGGGTGCTCCGGTTTCCCCCACAGTCCAAACACATGCGCTATAGGGGAACTGATCAACTAAATTGGCTATAGTGTGTGTGTGGATGTTTCCCAGAGATGGGTTGCAGCTGGAAGGGCATCCGCTGCGCAAAAAACTTCCTGGATAAGTTGGCGGTTCATTCCGCTGTGGTTAGTCCCTTTTTAGTAAAGGGACTAAGCCGACAAGAAATTGAATTAGGTTTAGGTTGATAGACGCTGATGGACATAGACATCACGATGTGAAGCCGGCATCACCGATCCTCCACCCTGCCCCCGTCGCAGCAGGAAACTCCCGAAAAACCCACACTCAGGCCCGTTTACACTAATACAGCTCAGTTCAAAATGGCATTTTAGAGTGAAAATGATCCACGTCCACACTGATGTTTCACCTAGCATTCCACGTAACCACACACACACAGCCACACACACTAGATGCATTCAACTTCATGCAGCGCTGCGCAGACTGATTGAAATCTGTCTTAAAGCTGTGCATGCTGGTTATAAATGTTGTCTGGATTGGCGCTGCAGACGCCACGTGACCGTGACATGTGACATCAAAAGCACGGCGACAGCGCTCCGAGATCAGACGACTGATTCAGCCGGTGCAGCATCTGAAGAGCGACTGCTGGAGCTGCGATGACGACACTGATATTACACGATTGGCCGAGTTCACCGCATGACAACAACCACATGTGTTTCAGGCTTATTATTGGACAGATTCCGTCTCACAAATTACAAAACAAACAATGAACTTTTGATCCCCTCAGTATCCTGAACACATCATGCTTATTAAGAGAGATCGCAGATTTTACTGCAGCAGCATCTTTTGTTCAGTAATCTGGCTAGATTGTCTGCACAGGTTTATTCTGCCTATTTATAGAGACTATTTACTGTATTCAGCTCCATGAATGATTTAAATGATATATTTTAGTAAATAACCTAAATATGAACTCAAATAATAAAATAATTATCATCCTGTCACTCTAAATATTTAACAAATTAAGTTAAAGACCTATTTTATTAAATAATTATATAATGATTTTTAGGATTATAATATATATATAGTTTTTTTCCCTCCTGTCGGGCCGTTTATACACAAGTGTTATTGATGTATCTGCTCTTTCTGGGAAACGTCTACTTCAAGTGTAGATTACTTATTACAGGAAAGTCTTTTTGTTCAGTTTTTTTGGATTAAAGTGCTTTTCTAAAAATGCAAAATAATCTTCATCATTGTTTTAGACTTGATCAGAACACCTTGTTTTGGGTTTTACTTTAACATATATTGGAAAGTTTTACATCTATAAATGTAAATAAATGTAAGCCTTTTTTTAGCATATTCAAGCCAGAAGTATTAGCGCAAGAATGATGTTTAAACTCCTAAAATGTATGCTTTGTATTTAATAGGCCTTTTCATTTTGTTCACAATACCCTCTCGTTTCCCCTTATTTCTCTCATGCGTTTGATATACATTTAATTTATAATTCCCTTATTGTTTAAAAATGAACTATAGTTTGTAGAGACTGTATTCAGTTTTAATTGTGCTGTAAATCTTTTGTTGTTATAAATAAATAAATAAATAAATGATGATGGCACAGTGTGATCGGTCATCATGACTGCCGCAACTGAGCCCCGAAGTGTCCTGCCGTCCGGCTTGTAGGCTCCATTTTCAACTCCGTCCCTGCCTGAACTCGGCTAATCTTGTTGATCACCGGCTGCAGCCATGGTTCACGTCAAACGCACCTACTGTCATGCGCTCGTCTGAGCTCCAGTGAGCAGTGCACGTCGGACAGTTTATCGAGGATGTAGTGCTGGATGGCGTCTCACTATAGTTGTTTAAGGTGATCTTTAATTCCTCTGGTCTTTATCTAACGACTCTTCACTCTTCTGAATCCATCAGGTGACGTGTCACAGCATCAGTACACTGCTTCAATCGTTCACTTTAATTCTTGTACTCGGTCATTGTAGTGTAAACCTCAGACACTGTTGGCTGGTTGCTGTTGGTTCTGCACCTTTTTACCAACCAAGTTTGTGAACGCCATTATACCGACACAGATCACTCTGCCTATTCATGCGGGAACAGCGATTGACAGGCGGTCATGTGTGGTTCACTTATTTTCATTTATTTATGGTTTGGCTATGGGTAAAACAAAGCTAGTTGAAACAGTAGGCTACACATAATTCATTCATTATGAAAGAATTAATAATTCATAAATAATTATTTCTGCTCTGACGCTGATGCCATCAACCATCGTGATGTTTCACATTAGACATCATACGACACCACATTGGTCGACATTGGACTACCATCTACCACTACCACCTACCCATCCTCAAAATCAAATACAGCAGCCCACAGGAAAGCAGCCTTAAGTACATGATGTGTGCAAGCAGCGATTGGAAGTTCGGATGTTTAACTTGAACTAGAACTTTGGTGGCAATCTTCCCAAGTTTGGACTCAACATATTAACAATATGTAGTCATCAAGCATCATTTCAGCCAGTTGAACATCACCATGACCTGAAAAGTTTCTTACATTTACAATCTGTAACTCAACTGAAGCATGATCCACTTATTAAATCTGCTTTACGACCTTCTGTGATGAAATAAATGTACGTTTGGCCAGATCCTCTCATCACCCCTCGCTTTACCCACGCTGCAGTTGATCAAGTTTAGTTCAGTCGCAGTAGGCGGTCATGTACAGTTAGTGTTCGGTTCACTGGATATCTGTGTGTACTGTTCTAATAACTGAATAACTCAGAATATATGTTTTATGTCGAGTCAGAGGGGTTATCAGGCATGTAATAACTGTATTAGTTTGTGGATAATGCTTAACGTTACAGGAGACAGAAATCGCTTCAAATGATTCAGTTCGATTTGGTGAATTAGTTCAACCAGTTCACTTAGAAGATCCGGTTAAAAAGAACAATTCTTTGGCGATCGTGATCACTGATGCATTAATAAAACACATTGTTTGGAACAAATGTGTTAAAAGAATAGTCTTGCGTGTCTGCTCGGGTCGTGTTTAATGCTGCCTCCGTGCTGCAGTCGTGTCCAGCCGTTGTTTTTGTGATGACTGGAGGAGGACCAGCTTGATCTGGCCAATGGCAGCAGGATTACAGACTCTGAGGTGTCGTATGGGTCCAACACCGGGCAGAGCCAAGTAAATAGATTTACATCTAAAAGGCTTGCAGTCTGCGTTAAATACATTTACAAAGATGAAAACAAAGGACCCTTTTCTGTTTCAGTTAGTTTAGTATGAATGCAATCCGCTTTCAGTTCTAGTTTTCGTTTTTATTTTCAGTTAACCAAAGTGATTTACAATTGTAGTTTGCATGTTTTCGTTAACTAGAATAACCTTGCTGTTATTGCACTATAAAACAACTGATCAAAAGTAGCTTATAATTTAATTTAATACTTTAATTTAATGATGGATTTCCAGCTTCCTTACTCCAGTCACATGATCCTTCAGGAATCACTCTAATATTAATTATTATTATTAATATTATTATTAGTAATATTAATTAAGAAATAGAGTAATATTTCATTCGAAACTACATACAGTAAGTAATAAATGTTTCATAAATATTTATCAATTCAAATAAACTATTTAACTTTTTTTTTACAGTTGTTTTACGCCTTGATGAACACAATAACAATATTTGAAATATTAAATAAAATTAATAATAAAAAAAATGACCCCAAACTTTTGACCGAGTGTATACATCATATTCATTCATTCATTTTCTTTTTGGCTTAGTCCCTTTATTAATCTGGGGTCCCCGCAGCGGAGTGAACCGCCAACTATTCCAGTAATTCCCCTATAGCGCATGTGTTTGGACTGTGGGGGAAACCGGAACATCCACGGAAAACCCTTGCCAACATGGGGAGAACATGCAAACTCCACACAGAAACACCAACTGACCCAGCCGAGACTCAAACCAGCGACCTTCTTTCTGTTAGGTCACAGTGCTGACCACTGCTCCATTGTGCTGCCGCACTCGCACATACATACCTGTACTTATACACACAAACAAGAACGCAGACATAATCACTCACATTCACACACACACACACACACACACACACACACACACACACACACACACACACACACATACACACACACACACACACATACACACACACACACACACATACACACACACACACATACACACACACACACACACACACACACACACACACACACACACACACACAAAGCTTTTTATAAATTAAGGTTTTTAATTGAAGCTGAAATGTCTGAAGCCATAATAAATATTGAATCTACATCATGAAAATGTCATGAACTAAGAGCAGCGAGTGTGTGTGGCTGTGCAAGTGTACTAGTGTAAGTGTGTGAGCTGGCTCCGGCTCGTCATCAGCGCTGTTTTGTGTTGTTGTGCAGTGATCTGGATCCTCTTCAGGCGCCACACTGGTCTGTCCGAGTCCGTACAGCAGAGAATCCACAGTGTCTGCTGGGTAAGAGCGCTCACTCCTACAGCAGCAGTAGTGTGCAGAGATGGATTGTGTGTGTGTGTGTGTGTGTGTGTGTGTGATGGCGTGTGCGTGATGATGTGTGATGGTATCTGATGGAGTGCGATTGAGTGTTTTGGTGTGTGTGATGGAGTGGAATGGTGTCTGATGGTGTGTCTGATGGAGTCTGATTGAGTCTGATACAGTCTAGTAGAGTGTGATGATGTCTGATGGAGTGCAATGGTGTGTGTGTGATTGAGTCTGATGGTGTGTGATGGTAGAGTGCGATGGTGTCTGATTAAGTGTGAGGGTGAGTGTGATGAGTGTGATTGAGTCTGATGATGTGTGAGGAATGGTGGTGATGTGTGATGGTGGTGAGGAATGGTGTGTGTGATGGTGTGTGTGATGGTGTGTTCTCCGTCCTCAGGAGAGTTTCTTACAGAGTTCTTCAAGATCTGCTGTCGAAAGGAAACTACGGAGGAGATTCTGGGCAGGAGCACAGCTGAGGAGGAGGGCAAAGGTCAGCTCATATCATACTGCTGTATTCATGCTCAACACACACACACACACACACACACACACACACACACACACACACACACATCTAGACCTGCGCCATACTGAGAAAATGTGCCATGATGTTGAACGATAACGACATTTCTTGAAATACAACCTTTCCCTAAACCGTGCTACATTTATTTATTTAATGATATTAAAATGAACAGGTAAGATACATTTTTAGATCTAATCAATTCTAAATCAGACCAAAAATAGTGTCAAGGTGGAGAAATCACTTTAAAGCTCATCAAAACACTGAGTGTAAACCTGATATGCAGATATTCTCACTCTGATTGGCTGATGTTGTCTCTACTCCGCCCATTAGGGTTCAGCTCTGAGCTCCAGCCAAAAGCACAACAACTATTGGGGAGGTGGAGCTAAAGATAGTAAGGCCCCATCTGATTGGTCAACTTTAGATAACTAATGAATGAAATGTAATTTATGAGAGGTCTGCAATGCGTGTACTTCATACACTACTATCACAATACTGATGATGCTGTGATGTATTGTGCAGCTGTAGTTTTCACTAAGTATCTTCACTTTGAGAAGGACATCTTCAGTCCTGTAGTTTGTGTTTTTAGTGGCAGCAGTAAAGCTGCTACATTTAGTTTTCTTCTTTACTTCTGCTCCAGTGTCAGAATCCATTATTAATGTAAAATAATGCAGAATACTTAAATGTGATAGGAAACGTTTGATTCTGTTAATAAATATTGTTTCACTCATTATTTAACATTTTAAAACAGTAAGAGTTGACGACAGTAACAGGGTTGAGGAGTTGACATCATGGAGTTAAGGAGTTGACAGTTACAGAATTGACTAACGGAGTTGATGAGTTAACGGTATTTGAGTTGAGTAGTTGGTGATAGCAAAGTTGGCTAATGGAGTTGACTGTAGCGGAGTTGATGTAGCGAAGCTGACTGTAGCGGAGTTGACTGTAGCGGAGTAGATGTAGAGAAGCTGACTGTAGCGGAATTGACTGTAGCGGAGCTGACTGTAGCGGAATTGACTGTAGCGGAGCTGACTGTAGCGGAATTGACTGTAGCGGAGTTGACTGTAGCGGAGTTGATGTAGAGAAGCTGACCTAACTGTAGCGGAGTTGACTGTAGCGGAGTTGACTGTAGCGGAGTTGATGTAGAGAAGCTGACCTAACTGTAGCGGAGTTGACTGTAGCGGAGTTGACTGTAGCGGAGTTGATGTAGCGAAGCTGACTGTAGCAGAGTTGACTGTAGCGGAGTTGATGTAGCGGACCTAACTGTAGCGGAGTAGATGTAGCGGAGTTGACTGTAGCGGAGTAGATGTAGCGGAGTAGATGTAGCAGAGTAGATGTAGCGGAGTAGATGTAGCGGAGTAGATGTAGCGGAGTTGACTGTAGCGGAGTTGACTGTAGCGGAGTTGACTGTAGCGGAGTTGACTGTAGCGGAGTTGACTGTAGCGGAGTTGACTGTAGCGGAGTTGACTGTAGCGGAGTAGATGTAGCGGAGTAGATGTAGCGGAGTTGACTGTAGCGGAGTTGACTGTAGCGGAGTTGATGTAGCGGAGTTGATGTAGCGAAGTTGACTGTAGCGAAGTTGATGTAGCGGAGTTGACTGTAGCGGAGTTGACTGTAGCGGAGTTGACTGTAGCGGAGTTGACTGTAGCGGAGTTGACTGTAGCGGAGTAGATGTAGCGGAGTTGACTGTAGCGGAGTTGACTGTAGCGGAGTTGACTGTAGCGGAGTTGATGTAGCGGAGTTGACTGTAGCGGAGTTGACTGTAGCGGAGTTGACTGTAGCGGAGTTGACTGTAGCGGAGTTGACTGTAGCGGAGTTGATGTAGCGGAGTTGACTGTAGCGGAGTTGACTGTAGCGGAGTTGACTGTAGCGGAGTTGACTGTAGCGGAGTTGATGTAGCGAAGTTGACTGTAGCGAAGTTGATGTAGCGGAGCTGACTGTAGCGGAGCTGACTGTAGCGGAGTTGACTGTAGCGGAGTTGACTGTAGCGGAGTTGATGTAGCGGAGTAGATGTAGCGGAGTTGACTGTAGCGGAGTTGATGTAGCGAAGTTGACTGTAGCGGAGTTGACTGTAGCGGAGTTGACTGTAGCGGAGTTGACTGTAGCGGAGTTGATGTAGCGGAGTTGACTGTAGCGGAGCTGACTGTAGCGGAGCTGACTGTAGCGGAGTTGACTGTAGCGGAGTAGATGTAGCGGAGTTGACTGTAGCGGAGTTGACTGTAGCGGAGTTGACTGTAGCGGAGTTGATGTAGCGGAGTTGACTGTAGCGGAGTTGATGTAGCGAAGTTGACTGTAGCGGAGTTGACTGTAGCGGAGTTGATGTAGCGGAGTAGATGTAGCGGAGTTGATGTAGCGGAGTTGACTGTAGCGGAGTTGACTGTAGCGGAGTTGACTGTTGACTGTAGCGAAGTTTACTGTAGCGGAGTTGATGTAGCGAAGCTGACTGTAGCGGAGCTGGATGTAGCAGAGTTGACTGTAGTGGAGTAGATGTAGCGGACTTAACTGTAGCGGAGTTGATGTAGCGGAGTTGATGTAGCGGAGTTGACTGAAGCAGAGTTGACTGTAGCGGAGTTGATGTAGCAGAGTTGATGTAGCGGAGTTGACTGTAGCGGAGTTGATGTAGCGGAGTTGATGTAGCAGAGTTGATGTAGCGAAGCTGACTGTAGCGGAGCTGGATGTAGCGGAGTTGATGTAGCGGAGTTGACTGTAGCGGAGTTGACTGTAGCGGAGTTGACTGTAGCGGAGTTGACTTTAGCTGAGTTGACTGTAGCGGAGTTGACTGTAGCGGAGTTGATGTAGCGGAGTTGACTGTAGCGGAGTTGACTGTAGCGGAGTTGACTTTAGCGGAGTTGACTTTAGCGGAGTTGACTGTAGCGGAGTTGATGTAGCGGAGTTGACTGTAGCGGAGTTGATGTAGCGGAGTTGATGTAGCGGAGTTGATGTAGCGAAGCTGACTGTAGCGGAGCTGGATGTAGCGGAGTTGATGTAGCGGAGTTGACTGTAGCGGAGTTGACTGTAGCGGAGTTGACTGTAGCGGAGTTGACTGTAGCGCAGTTGACTGTAGCGGAGTAGATGTAGCGGAGTTGACTGTAGCGGAGTTGACTGTAGCGCAGTTGACTGTAGCGGAGTTGACTGTAGCGGAGTTGACTGTAGCGGAGTTGACTGTAGCGGAGTTGACTGTAGCGGAGTTGACTGTAGCGGAGTAGATGTAGCGGAGTAGATGTAGCGGAGTAGATGTAGCGGAGTTGACTGTAGCGGAGTTGACTGTAGCGGAGTTGACTGTAGCGGAGTTGACTGTAGCGGAGTTGACTGTAGCGGAGTTGACTGTAGCGGAGTAGATGTAGCGGAGTAGATGTAGCGGAGTTGACTGTAGCGGAGTTGACTGTAGCGGAGTTGATGTAGCGGAGTTGATGTAGCGAAGTTGACTGTAGCGAAGTTGATGTAGCGGAGTTGACTGTAGCGGAGTTGACTGTAGCGGAGTTGACTGTAGCGGAGTTGACTGTAGCGGAGTTGACTGTAGCGGAGTAGATGTAGCGGAGTTGACTGTAGCGGAGTTGACTGTAGCGGAGTTGACTGTAGCGGAGTTGATGTAGCGGAGTTGACTGTAGCGGAGTTGACTGTAGCGGAGTTGACTGTAGCGGAGTTGACTGTAGCGGAGTTGATGTAGCGGAGTTGATGTAGCGAAGCTGACTGTAGCGGAGCTGATGTAGCGGAGTTGACTGTAGCGGAGTTGACTGTAGCGGAGTTGACTGTAGCGGAGTTGACTGTAGCGGAGTTGACTGTAGCGGAGTTGACTGTAGCGGAGTAGATGTAGCGGAGTTGACTGTAGCGGAGTTGACTGTAGCGGAGTTGACTGTAGCGGAGTTGACTGTAGCGGAGTTGATGTAGCGGAGTTGATGTATCGGAGTTGATGTAGCGAAGCTGACTGTAGCGGAGCTGGATGTAGCGGAGTTGATGTAGCGGAGTTGACTGTAGCGGAGTTGACTGTAGCGGAGTTGACTGTAGCGGAGTTGACTGTAGCGCAGTTGACTGTAGCGGAGTAGATGTAGCGGAGTTGACTGTAGCGGAGTTGACTGTAGCGCAGTTGACTGTAGCGGAGTTGACTGTAGCGGAGTTGACTGTAGCGGAGTTGACTGTAGCGGAGTTGACTGTAGCGGAGCTGACTGTAGCAGAGTTGACTGTAGCGGAGTTGACTGTAGCGGAGTTGACTGTAGCGGAGTTGACTGTAGCGGAGTTGACTGTAGCGGATTTCACTGTAGCGGAGTTGACTGTAGGGAAGTTGACTGTAGCGGAGTTGACTGTAGCGGAGTTGATGTAGCGAAGTTGACTGTAGCGGAGTTGACTGTAGCGGAGTTGATGTAGCGGAGTAGATGTAGCGGAGTTGATGTAGCGGAGTTGACTGTAGCGGAGTTGACTGTAGCGGAGTTGACTGTTGACTGTAGCGAAGTTTACTGTAGCGGAGTTGATGTAGCGAAGCTGACTGTAGCGGAGCTGGATGTAGCAGAGTTGACTGTAGTGGAGTAGATGTAGCGGACTTAACTGTAGCGGAGTTGATGTAGCGGAGTTGATGTAGCGGAGTTGACTGAAGCAGAGTTGACTGTAGCGGAGTTGATGTAGCAGAGTTGATGTAGCGGAGTTGACTGTAGCGGAGTTGATGTAGCGGAGTTGATGTAGCAGAGTTGATGTAGCGAAGCTGACTGTAGCGGAGCTGGATGTAGCGGAGTTGATGTAGCGGAGTTGACTGTAGCGGAGTTGACTGTAGCGGAGTTGACTGTAGCGGAGTTGACTTTAGCTGAGTTGACTGTAGCGGAGTTGACTGTAGCGGAGTTGATGTAGCGGAGTTGAC